AAGATCAATATAATGAGGTTTTTTTTATAATCGCGCGAAGCACGGAAAATTCATTAGTTAATGGAGTAAATTTAGCTTTGTGTTTATTACCCTAATAGGAGTATCATTTTTCTTTTTTTCTTTTTTTCGTTACATAAAAGTCATTTAACCTTGTGTTCATTACTCAAAAGTCATTTTTCTTTCTTATGTTATACAAAAATTATTTTATTGTGCTCTAGTTTTCACAATAGTCATTTTGACCAGATTTTATAAAACTTTCACCTGAAAAGTCTATTATGCCCTGGCATTATAAATCCTCGAATTATGTAATACCTTATATATTATATACTATATAATATATTTTTACCTAGGTATTTTACTTATAGTTAAAATAAATTTATATTATTTTATAATATATCCGTACATTTAATTTTGTCATGGCACTCAATTTGTTTAATCATATTCAGACATGAACATATATTGAAACATAAAAACGATAAAAAAAATATTTATTTTAATATTTATTTGAAATAATAAAAACAGATTTAGTTAACAAATGATAGTTTTTTATAGTTAATAAAACTTTCAAAAAAATTCAAAGATATTTGTGTTTATTATTAAGTCTTTTAAAGCTTTTTTCTGTTAATATTTTTTTTTTTGAAAGTGTTAATTTGATGTGTTAGTGTGTCAAATGTGGGTATTTTGTTTATTTGATTAACGAATATGGCTTGACTGATGTGAGTTTAATTTTATAATTTTAATTAAAAATATTTCATTAGGTATGGTTAAGAATGTTTACTTGAGATTTATTCACAGTAATGTTACTAACAAATTTAATAATGCTACCTCTATATCTTGTAAATTAACGTTTAGGAAAAATTAAATGTCGAATATATTATAAAAATGATAAATCAAATAATATTAAGTTATTGTAATTATAAGTAAAATATATGTAGTATATAATATAGAAGATATTACATAAATTGAGGGATTTATAATGTCAAGGACATAATAGACTTTTTAAGTGAAAGTTTTATAAAATTTAGTCATAGTGACTATTGTGATAACTAGAATATAGTAAAATAATTCTTTTGTAACAAAAAAAAGAAAAATAACTTTTGAATAATAAATACAAAATTGAATGACTTTTATGTAATAAAAAAAAATTATTTTAAGGTAACACATATAAAGTTGAATGACCATCTATAAAATTTACTCTCGTTGCATAGCCAATGGAATGGAAAATTGACGAATCTGCTCGAAAACCTTTAGCTAGAGTCTAACTTGTCCACTTTCTAATAAGCTGCATTCAGGGGCGGACTTAAATGTACGATTCACACGAATTCAATACTTTTAGTGTACTTATAAGTTGTACTAGTTTTAGTGGGCGTTTGGACATAAGAATTGTAAAATATAAAAAAAAAATGCAAGTGAAAATAGTATTTAAAATTAGAGTTGTGTTTGGATATGAATATAATTTTGGGTTATTTTTAAAGTTTTGTGAGTGATCTGAGTGAAAATTTTGAAAAACAATTTTTTGGAGTTTTTTAAATTTTCGAAAAATTTCAAAATCCATGTTCAAGTAAAAATTTAAAAATTTATGGCCAAATATTAATTTCGAAAAAAAGTAAAAATTTTCTTATATCCAAACGGGCTCTTAGTGTACGTGTTGCACGTGAATGCTGTGCCAATTATTAAAAAATAGAAAAAAAATATACATAACAAACAAATATTTGAGAATAACAATTTTGGTTAAAATAAATGCAAATATTTATTTAAATGATAAAAAAAATACTAGATTATTAACATATTTAGTAGCTAAACTCAATATCTTTTGAACATGGTGATGAATTAAATTAAATTAGTTATATTAGTAATACATGACATATAAAACCTTTTTGAAATTACCGTAAAAGAAATCAATATATAACTTTCAACGTAATTCTAATTTATGAAGATAAGGTTTCCATTTGTTAAGAATAAAAATAGATCAGATATTAATATGTCATGATTCTGAAATAAATGTTTTGTGTAGAAATATGAAGTTAAGATATTTTTTCACAAACTATTGATTTTTTCAAGTATTACAAAAGAGATTGATAAGAATTAGAAACGCGCTCTATTTATTTATCCTTCTTTTTTCAGGTCGATTCCGATTCTTAGTTTTTTCTGTAATGTTGGTATTTATAGATCTGTTTCAATATGGTGATGAATTTTTTATTTTTTGGTAACTTAAGTACATAAAAATCTTATATGTCATCCCTAGTTTATGAAAATTATAGGTATGCTAAATGAACCTATTCTGGTGTAAAAAGAATTAATAGATTTATTTTCCGTAGAGTCTAAAACTTCTTCTTTACCACGTTTATCCAAAGGCCAAATAAAATTAAAGACTATCCTAAATTCATTTCAGTCCTTGATGGAACTACCAATTAGTTTGAAATTTCAATAATTTACAATGATGAGGATAACTTTTCAAAGTATTAAGGGGAAAATGATAAATTATCATTATTTTAAAGATTCAACTATATTAGTTTAGCAACAGTTTAAAATATTATTGTAATCACAAGTTTGATATGCTTGTAGCTGAATTTATTGTTTAAAGTAATATAAACCAAATATAATATCAACAATCAAGCCTTGTATTATGTAAACTAAGGCCTTGTATTTTTGTAAACTAAGCACCTTAAAATTGTTGACAAATGATATGGTTGAATAAAAATTAGATGTTTATAGGTCATCATATTACCTTCATGGTTTCTGATAAACGTTAAATTTTCAATATTAGAGAGTTTAAATTTTTTTTTAAAAAAATCATTAAAAGGAGTTCAATCAACTAATGAAGTGTTAATTCTAAATTAGCATATGTTGATTATATAAATCATGTGTATAACAATATTTTAATTAGACTATTGACAGCGTTTTTCAGAAGATATTAACTTTTAATAAAGTAAATAGTCGTGAAAAGTTTTGAAACAAATATTAGATCAAACTAACTTTTATATCTCTTATTGAACATAGATGAGGAAAACCCGTCCATAAAAACACAAGATTTTGTATATATGTAAGTAGAGGCGTTAATCATGCTTAAATTGTTACTTGGCTTAAATTATTCAAAAAAGATAAATTATAGATTCCTAAATATTAAATCTTCATACCTAGTTCAATAAGGAAAGATTTTGTTTTCCCTCAAAATCGGATAACAATTAAATTTTTAAGTGGTTTTAAGTATACGCGGATTAATTTGATACAAAGCGATAAATTAAGTTGCTATTGAATAAACCAAGATAAAATAAATTCAAACCACACGAGTTGGATAGTTTTAGCCTTAATGAAATAGCCACTCTCGAACCGAGCTCACTGAGACCGGTATAGACGAAAAAGAACAAGAGTTGGAGACAAAAATAATAATAATATAATTGCTTTTGAGTGCATGTTACAATGTGTTTCATGAATTATCAGGCCCCCTTTATACAGTAGGGAAGTTCTATGTTAGGTACAACTCTCCAAAAGGTAAAGAATCTTTCGATTCACTGATTGCCGGTTCCTCATTGATACGTGCCGAGATCCCCGCCGTAATATTCGGTCGATTACGGATATTTCGGCCTTCTGTTGGCTATACTGAATTGTCCGACAATGTCCTTCGAAGTCGATCGAGGCTAAGACCGATTCCGGGACCATGGCCTCGATATTTCCGATGGCAGGCGTCATGCCCCCGGATTCTGGCTCGATTTCGGTCTCTTGTTGCCATGTCTCGAGCCTGGCTTATTTTGTCGGAGGTTAGGATACACCATGAGTTCGATTTCACCCATATACAGATTTAATAACCAAAATTCTAGTTGATTTCTAAGTCCTAAGCAAATAATTTAGTTACAATTACAATTTTGTCCAAGAAAAAAGTTTATTTTTAAGGGTAAAAAAGGCGGACGACATTTTATTAAATTTTTTTGTACTTTTAATATAATATAGATAGATAAATTTATATTAGAAAATTTATTACTTATATATATATAATATTTAATTATGAACTCGTATATTTTTGATGACAAGTTCCAAAATCTTCTTTAAAATATGCAAATAACAGATTCACTATATATGACAACGAGGCAAGGTCCACTCATGATCAGACGGATGTAAAGTAGTTAGAAGCCTGTCTTTGCTAACTTTCCTTTTTTGTCTTTTAATATTTTTGGTTGGTGAGGACTGAGGAGTGAGGATAGAGGAGTTTGCTTTTTTAAGGCCTATTTTGCAATTGAGAATTGGCTGACATGTCCAGGACCAGGGGCAGACTTTGATTTTGAACCTTTCTTCGTTGTATCGTTGAATCATCATTATGAGCCAAGGGAAGACTAGCTTTAATTAATGTCTCATCAAAAGACTTTCCTAAGGAAGGTGTTAACTTAATTAGGATTTAAGGGGCATTTCCTTCTCTGCACAAGCCGAGATACGATGTCAATCTATTATTACAATTCGATTTATGAGCGATATTGAGGTGGATTTCAAATATTAATCTATGCTTTATGTTATTTTCAAGCGTGTCTATTCATTGTATATATACATATTATTATTTTTAAAATATATATTACACTGATTTAAAAAGCAGTGTCGGATTGGATCCCTTATTAAAGGGTGTCTCTGCCACTAGTTCTTGGTTCAGGTTGTACTCAATAATTTTACTGGATAGTAGGGTGCAGTAATCTCTTCTGCGTTTTGTATAAAATACATTGTACATTTATACGCTGTATCATCTAAAACCAAGAGATGAATGATGTCAGTAATACAATTATAAAGTCCTCAAATATCTTAATTACAATGTGAAGGATTATTCGAATTTAAGGCTAACTCAAAAGGAAAACTACAACTTTCATCAATTATCAACATATAACAGCTCTTTAGTTATGCACGTAAACCACCTTTGTCCTAATTGGTTATTCGTGATGCACCCGATTTCGCATAATTTTCAATAGTTGGATTTAAAACAAGCAATATTTTGGGTTTTGTAAAGATATTCTAGGTGACATCATGAAGCTTTTTATTCAAACAAGAACCATCTGTCCAAATACCAAATAATGTTGCAGTTGAACTGAATAGATATATTTCTTAATACTCAACTCAAGAAGAATAGTGGAAGCATACATTCGCAATTTAGAAGATCCGACCAACGTCATAACCGGAAGCAAGGGAATAATTGATCTAAATAGATTCTCATAGAAAATTGTCGTCTAAGTTGTCGAAAAGATTCCAATGAATTGGGCTATCTATCCAATTCTGGAAAGGATCTTCAAGTCCTGGATTATACATGTCGCTGGAAAATGTGTCTGAATTTTGGAACAACTCATTTGATCCCATTTCCAAATTACTCTCATTCATTTCATCTAAGCTGGGACTAGATGTTGAAATTTGAATATTCTGCTGCTCCTGTGGAAAGTTTAAAGTTTCTGGCAATTCCAGCTTCTCAGACTGTTCAATAGGCTTGTGTGTTAAAGGGTCTAAGCCAAGGAGCTTTAGCTTCTTCTTGATCCTTGTATTCCAGTGATTCTTTATTTCATTGTCTGTACGCCCTGGAAAATGCGCCGCTATTTTCGACCACCTATTATTTATTAAAAAGTACTCGTATTTATTAGGCCGCTTTAATCAAAGGTTTAGTAACTTTGTAAAATACTGAGGTTAATACCTATTGCCAAGCTGAGAATGAAGCTTGATGATCATGTCTTCCTCTGCTTCTGACAGTGCTCCTCTTTTGAGATCTGGCCTTAGATAATTTATCCACCTTAATCTACAGCTCTTTCCACATCTCATTAGCCCTTCAATATCATTATAAAGGAAATTTTTTATAATTTATATCAAAATGTCAAACAAAAATCCAAAATTATTGTATGTTATTACCAGATAACTCCATCTACTATCATAGTATCAAGTCAATTTAAAAAAAAAAAAGAATGCAGACATCTATCTTACTTATGCCATATATTTGCACGTTAATTTGTTACACTTATTTTTAAATTGTTTATGTTGGTGTAAGAACCAGGTGCATGTAAGCTTTACTACGCTACTATTAGAGAAGATTAGGGTGAAAATGGCATACACTTACACACACAGTGTCTAAACCGGCCAATAAAGTCATGTCTTAAATATGCACTTCTACGAATAACAATTAATGGTTGATTAATACTATATATTATGTTGTCACATGAATACATCATTTAATCATATATTAAGTTTTTCCTATCATGTTTCCGTAAAATCAGTGTTGCTAGTTAATAGTCTCATTGAGATTAAAAAAACAAATCAAAATGCATAATAAATATATACTAGCAAATTAAAGTAGTAATTAGAGAGTTTGATTCTTGGGAAACTATATATTAAGTACCTGCTAATTTTGGTACAAGACGCCAGCATTGTATACCATTGTTGAGGATGAAATTCATAAGCTTATGATCTTCTTCAATAGTCCAAGGACCCCTTTTGAGTCCAATCTTGTCACAACAAGGTTGTCTTCCCATATTTTTTGGGTACTAAACTTCAAAAGAAAACCTAAACTTGAACAAGTTTCATTCAGTCAAGGAAATTAATTAAACTTGGGATCAGCAGCCAAAATGTGGCTTATAAACAAAAGCAAAGATTCTGCCAACTCATCATAGATTAAAAATACCATTTCTTTTATGAGTTTACTCATAATTGAGGAGGAAATTAAAGAATCAACCTTTGAAACAATATTATTAAATTCAATATGTCTGGTTTCCTTATCATTGCCAAAAAGGACTATTTGCAATTAATAAAATGAAGAAACAGACGTGAGTTCTTGTCGTTGACATGTTTTTATATATATATGCCCACGATGTATTCTCCAATTGAATTTTGCAAAAAGTAAAACATTATAAATTTTCAAAAAGATTCTTGGAGTTGCCTTTCAGCTGGCTAGTTACATTTATGGGAGGCAAGTCCTTTTCTTCTTCTTTGTTTATTTTATTTACCTTTTGATTATTTGGAGCTTTTTGATTCTATTAAAGGCCACGGTGTTCGACTTTGCTTTAATTTTCTTTACCTTATCCCGTGCATCAAATCTCTATGGGATTCAACTTGTCAATATTCTAACTGCAATTTGTTAGCAAACACATATTATTAATTAGTTACAAGTGCCAACTGAAATGATTATTATATAAAGTACTCATCATTGCATATTTAAATTGTCATTATTTTTTCTTGACAACTTCAATAATATTCGTGATATTGTCAATAGAGTTTGTTGACTAATTTAATCTCCAACGAATTAACTAGAATATGCTCTCTTACGAAGAAACCATCTATGTCAATCATCTAAGAGTTAAATTTCTGTGCAGGAACAATGCACTACCATCACATCAAGATTACATACAATAGATAGTTATCTGTAGTAATCTTAATTTGGCAACATAAAAAGTCAGTAATAACATGTTATAATGCATTAATACTATAAATTCTTTATACTATCAGTATTATTCACTACTATTTTTGTCTCAATTTGTGTGTCGTACTTTCATTTGTACTGTCGTCGTACTTTCTTAGTTAATTATTTTAATTTTAATTTTTCCATTTTATTCGTTATGAGATGATTTTAACCATACAAATGTCTATGATAAGGGGCGACTCAATAAGTTTGGTGGCCTAAAATAAAATTTTAACGAGAGACTTTAAATTTTGAAAAGACTAATATTTATTTTATATAAATTCTATTTTTAACATTTTAATATGTAAAGTTGTAAATAATTTTTTAAACTTTAAAGTTTTCTATTTGAGGAAACGTAAAGAGAGAAAACAGTAATTTACATGTCAAACTTATTCCCCAATTTATTCACACATAAAGGATTTAGGGAAAGATTCACATTACCAGGTTTTTGGTGAAACAGTAAATCAATCACAATATAAATTGATTTTCTACGTAAAATACTTAATACCAATTTAACTAAGTACTTAATTGTGGGTAAAATTTGGGGGCTCCAAAAGGGTGAGGCCTAAAACAATTGCTTTAGTTGCTTCACCCATCAGCCGGTCTTGTCTATAACTTATTTTAGATCACAAGTTTCAATTTTTTTTTTAATTTAGTGCCTAATCAAAAACCACTACATAAATCCGGAAGATTTAAATGGAGTATTGAATTGCAAAGGCAAAGGTGGCTAGCAAGTATACATAGACAGAAGAATAAAAGAATAGTTTGTACGGAGATATTGCTGTCTGAATGAGATTTAGACACGGTTCTCATTCAAGTACATAGTCATGATTTCTGAATAATGATACACCCTTGAGTTCATTGGATTTGTAATTTTCAATAGAACAATCTGTACATGGACCATGGTTTCATTTATTTTAATAAGCACAAATCGAATATTGAGATGTTTATGAGATGGTTTAACTAAAGACAAGTATATAGAATATAATAATGCTTTCACAATATTATTGACTTTGAGTGGGACTTGAGGCCTTCCGTCTTAACTATATAAAATGATTTGGCAGAGCCAACTTTCGGTAAAGTCGTTTTTTTGCCTTAAGTCGACTAATTTTTTTTATAATATCAATGTAGTTTAAAATGATATTTCAGGTTATTAATTCCACTTAATATAGATGGGATCACATTTGCTTGCTTCCCTAATTTGGATCTATATTATATTATCAGTTTCTTTTGATGGCTTGTATCCATTATTACCTGATTCTGATAGCTAAATTCACATTGACGAGCTCAGCTGCTAATCATCTCTTACCTTTTGATGTAGTTTAATACTTATGTAGGGCAAGGAACCATTGGATAATATATTGATAATTGTGTCGTTTATTGTGTTTAGAAGTAACAAATTTAGGGTGCAGTTGATAGTTGATCTTTTATTTTGCAGCTTCTACTCGATGGGACAGACAGAATTCTTCCATCAACGGAATTGTGCCGTCCGGACCGAGCAAGCAAACAGCAGTCGACAAAAGAATACAACTTTTCCTCTTTGATACAGGGGATGTTCTGAAAACGCTGCAGACCCTACGAGGCAGCATTAATATTTATGTTTTAATCGATAATATGTGTATCGTATAACTTTGTATATATTTCGGTACAATAACTATCACGATCCAAGCCCATGTAACGTATTGTCCGCTTTAGACTTATAGTTATCGGTTCTCCATCTAACTTTCTTACATCATAGACCTCCTTATGAGGTTCTAGGAGCTGACGGCAGAAATACTAAGTCTTCTGGTCATAATTCATCTTATGCTCCCCACGTGAGTCTAATAGGATGATCCAACTCTTAAGTTTCATACAGGGACGGAAAGACTTCCAATTTACCTTCCTTACTTAACTCACTCGTAACATATGGGCGTTATGTACTTTCTATTTCCTCAAGCTAAGGTCCTAGTGCATATTCACGAGATGAATTGTTCTACATAGTCGTTTCCGGCACACTAATCTACACTTAATTTGGCCAATCACCCGTAATCTCATGCTTAACTACTAATGATTCACCTTAAGTTAACGCTACTCCCGTAAAATTCTTATTCGCTAACCCGAGATCTCGTTTGTAAACTATATATATAACAATCTGTAATTTGCTATCGTACATTACTTAGTAAAATAAATAATAACATACCTACATCCTCATCGCGGTAACTCTAATCTCATTTGATCCTCTGAGGAAATGCTACTCATGATGATGATATCATAGCACTCCTCCTTATCCGATAATAACAATCTCGTATTCTGTAGCCAGGAATCCCGCACCAATAACATACATTGGTACCCAGACGACACACTCCTGAGTGCGCCTTCCAACACTGCCTACAGTAAGGTCTGGATGGCCCTGCCTGGCTTTGATCTCTCTATGAGTGTATAAAGGTTTTCTGAAGCTTATCTATAAAATTTTGTAGGTCCTCGTGCAGATCTGAGCCAGTGAACTCTAGGGGTTTAGACTAAGGAACTCTCATACCCTTGAACTAGTCGATCTCTCTGAAGGTTCAACACCCAAAGATGCTCCCACCTGCCATTGTACATGTGCTGCTACTATCTAGGTCAATAGTTGTTTTGCCTCCCACAATTTCTGCTCCGCTGCACTTGATGGGGATGCTGAGGTTACTGGAAATCCTCGGGGCTCCTCCGGAACTAGGGTAGTCGAGAAAACCTAGGATGTTGATCCATGCTGTGTCTCAGTCTGACTCTCATCTACTGGTGGTCTACTACTAGGCCCTTCCTCTGTAACTTGATGACCCTTAGTCATTTTCTTACCTGTCGGCATCCCTCAAGAATTTCGCGGCCGCACCATTTTTTTCGCGACCGCGGGACCTAGGGCGTGGCCGCGGTTGGAATTTCGAAGCGGGTCATAATACATATTACGAAGCTGCTCGAGCCCTTAATCCACTGGACCGAGCGCTAATTCTTAAAACGACAAGTCGGGTCGTTACATTCTTCACCTCTTAAACAAACATTCATCCTCGAACGTTCTAAGAATTATTCTGAGGTTACCAAATTGATGATTTTACTTTTACACATATACTTAACGGTTGATTCCACGCTACTGCATTTGAGATAAGCCTGACAATATCATCTCATTTGAGTTTATTTCTTTTATCCATACTTTAAGATCAATTTCTTACACTCCAAACATTTCAAAAGGTCTGATTTTCACAACAACGCACGGTATTAGTCTCAACTGGTTATAGCAACCCGTGCCTACGCACACATCAATTTTCTTGATGGTGTTGAAGTACTTCAAAACTTTCTCTGGGGTGCTACATTCTTCCCCGCTTAGGATTATTCGCCCTCAAATATATAACATATTTATCTCTTCCTTTGCAAATCCCAATCCTCCAAATTTTACTAACTCCCAAATTTTTCAGAAATTTCGGTAGAGTCTCCCCTGTAATTGGGCCTATCCACCTACTAGAGTAACACCAAAAAAAACTCCTAACAACACATCCACAACTCAAAAAAATACCACAAGGTATATATCAATAACACCAATCTCGACATCACAAGCATTGTATTATCATAATGATATCAGGACATGAAGCACATCATATGTATGCTCATCACCACATCTCTGGTCTTAAAAACTGTTCATAATTAATTCCAGCATCATCAATTAATCTCATATTAACCACCACCTCATTTTGAATTTTCACAACACTGACAACAGAATGTGAGGCATGAAGACCTCATGATTACTTACTCGGATTAATGAGTCACATTTAACGCCACCCGGGAACTCATCTCATAGGTTAAAATTTAATAATTACAGCACAATTATGGCACAGAAACACATAAAAGAATTATCACTTAAGCCTATCAGGCATGACTCCCTATTAGTACTATAGTACAATTTAAACTTCACACAGGGAGAATTTAAGACTCATAAATATTTCACCACAAGGACCTCATCCTTATATAACTTCCACCGCGACTTGTAGCCCGGTTAAATATTTTACATCATATATAAAATACGAGGATCTCGTCCTCAACTCCGAATCACAAGTATTTTGTACATTGTGCCATCTAAAATTTCAATTTCTTTTCTTTCTTCTTTTCAATATATTT